TACTTTAGCCCTTCGGTGCTGGGAGCGACTTGTAGTCCACTCTCCTTGATCTTGCCCATGCCTAAGAAGCGGCTGGGTCTTATGTGGTATTTTAGCCCTTAGGCTCTGGGAGCGACTCATAGTCCACTCTCCTTGATTTTGCCCTGCCGAAGAGGTGACTGGGTCTTATGTGGTGCTGAGGTCTTCGCCAATTCGTCAGTTTGTGCCTGGGCCAGGACGCCAGGTCGGCGCATGTGCCAGGCCGCCAGGCTGCTGGGTGGGCGCCTTAGAGCTATGATTGCGCTGCATCAGCCTCGTGATGCCGGTCACCCACTCCTACAAGAAGCTACTAGGAACTCTACCTTCGGGGGCAGTACCTCTAACTTTAGGTCACCAGCTCGCACAGGAGCCTTGGAAGGCTCGACTAGCAAGGGCGCCCATGTAGTTTGTTGGCCGCCAACTCCCGCGGAAGCCACGAAGAGCTCATCTTTGTAGAGGGGACCTCGCGAAGAGGACTGGTGAGGTTTTATCTGAATTGAAAGTAAAGTTGGTAGAACTGCTTAGTCTGTTAGCTTTCTGCATAGTTTTTGAGTTCATAAAAAATGGAAACTATAAAGCGAGAGCTTTAGTTTCTAAAAAGTGAGGACTTAGCTTTCTGGGAGAAGAGGACTTAGCTTTTTGTAGGATGAGAGCTTAGCTTTTTGTAGCGTTTCCCACAGAACCATAGAGGGTTCAGTGAATGTCGCGCCGACTACAGGAGGGAGTGGTGCGTTCACTTGTGTAGTCGCTTGGGGCATCGTCAGCGCTAGGACCTCAGCCGTAAGCGGTATGGTGAACTGACCTATGCAGACAGACGGGAACTAAGGTTGCCCCCCAGAGACGTGCACTTTGTTGTTTTGTCCGGCGTTGCTGGAGGAAGCCATGGATTTGATTCTGAGCTTGAGATTTTTGAATGGAGACAAAGGCTTTTAGTAGCAGTTCCCACAGACAGCGCCAAATGATGTGGCACAATCCGGCTGCTCCCTGTAGGAGATGATTTGGCTACCAGCAACGACGGGCTCGATGGACCTGCAAGAATAGAATCAGAGAACCCGGGGTTGTTTACCCAACGGGGTTTCTCCGATGCTTAAGTTAGCACTTAGTTGTGAGCTGAAAACGATATTGGATTGTGAGAGAGCTAGAGAGCAGAGATTATGCCTCGCCTTTCTTCGCCCCTGGGGGGTGAGGCCTTTATATACTGGAGTCCTCGCGGGTTTGGTGGAGTAGTTCCTGGATCCCCATTGTGATGGGATTTGTTTCCGTGTTAGTTGGGCATAATGCCACCAACTGGTAAGGTTGCCCATTTCCACCTGAATCGGGGAGTGGGTGAGATAATACTAGTTGTTACAAGGCATGATCCCGTAAGACACAGAGTACGGTGGTGAGATCCTTGGAATTACCATGTGGTGGCGAGCTGCTTGTGAGGTGCCGGGCTGCTTGGTGGCGAGCTGCCTTGTGGCGAGCTACTTGTGAGGTGCCGGGCTGCTCGGTGGTGAGTTGCCTAGTGGCGAGCTACCTGTGAGGTGCTGGGCTGCTTGGTGGCAAGTTGCCTTGTGGCGAGCTACCTGTGAGGTGCCAGGCTGCTTGGTGGCGAGCTGCCTGTGAAGTGTCGGGCTGCTTGGTGGCGAGCTGCCTAGTTGTCATGAGGTGCCATGTGTCATAATGTCATTGGAGGGCCAAATCCGCCCTCATTAGGAACCAATACTATTTTTTAGGGATTTTTTTACAAGACAAGGTATTGGTTCTATAAATATGTGTTATTGGTTATATTACATATACATATTATATATATACATATATTATATATATATATATATATATATATATATATATATATATATATAAACTTTGGTTTATTCATTTTTAGAGAGCAAACTTTTTTGAGAGGAAAGATAACAGATTCCATTAAACAAAAAAGAGTACATGAGAATATGTACAAAAAGAAGCACACACACAGATTACAAAGGCATAACTCTCTCTCGCTATGTAAAAAATCCTTGTGAGCTCCCGATTTAGCCAAACAATCTACTACAAAGTTTAACTCTATGGGAATCCAGAACATATTTACATTCAAAAAGTTCAGAGGATCCCAAGCCTCATCCAGATAATGAGATAGCCTCAATGGCCCTCCATTCTTCTCCCCAAGCCATTTAATGGTATTGCTCGAATTGCCTTTCATGACTAGGGAAGACAAGCCAAGATCTCTTGCAATCCGGTTTCTAGTTAGCATGGCTAAAACTTCAGCCTTTGTAGAGTCTTCTATCCCGATTGGACCACCATAAGTCCACAATAAATTTCCATCCTCTCCCTTAAACACACCATCAATCGATTCAATCCCTGCTAGACCAGGGCTCCCAAGGGCATTTCCATCAAAGTTCAGGGTCACCTCTTTTATTCTTGAGTGAAGGATGTTTGTTGCTTTTAGAGAGGATGGAGAAGAAAATAGGATCTCCATAGTACTTTTTTGGAGATCATTCAAAGAAACACCTTTAAACTCCTCTGAGTTTAGCACCTATATGTTGCACAAGTAGAACATGTAGGACAACAATTTGCCCATAGATATAGCTTTATTATTGAAGATTCGGTTTCTCTCCTCCCACACCCCCCACAAAACTGCTTGAACCATAGTGCACCAATAAACTTTTCCTCTTTTTCCAAGGCCTCATCCTTGTAGGGCTGTCAACGGGTCAGGTTTGGGTCGGAACCAGTTGGAGCCGAAACCGACCCAACATGAAATGTTGAGGACTCGGACAAGGACCCAATAGGCTCTGTAATTTTTGGACCCAGAATCGAACATATCGGTTCTCGAGACAATCGGGTCTGACCCGACAAACCTGATTATAAAAAAATAAATATTTATGTTTAATATATATTAAATATTCTATATATATTATGTATTATATGTATAGTATATATAATTTATTTAATATATTACATACTCACATATATATCGGGTCTGGTCTCAATCGGTTCAGGACTAGGTGGAACCGGTTCTGAACTGATAGTAATCGGGACCCTATATCAGGACCCGTAACCGACCCGTTGGTTCCAATTCCTGGAACTAGAACCGGCCCAATCGGTTCGGGCCCGTCAGGTCAGACCCGACCCATTGATGGCCCTACTTCTTTGTCATTGCCAAAGGAAGTACTCAATGTGTTCAACAAAGTTTCAGTGTATAGCAACATTTTTAGGGATGCTACTCAACATCAGTCAACTTGAAACCTAGGGGTGTACAATTGGTCGGTTCGGTTCGGTTCAAATCAAGGACCTAACCGACTATTTGGTTTTACTATTTCCTCTAATCGAACCGAACTGAACTATATTTTAGAACCGGACCGACCTTAACCGAATTCGGTTCGATTGGGCCCTGGTTCCACATAAATGATAAGAGTAGAAGTTCAAGACTGCTTTCAGCCTTGAACCCTAATAGATTTCAGGTTCGAAAATAGAAGGAAAATGTAGAGAAGAGAAGAGAAAGAGAAGAGAGAACTGTAGAACACAAAGTTCTGCTGCCGCCACTTCTATTTAGTATTTATAGGTTATGCTCATTACATGGAAAGGACAGATCTGCCCTTAGTATTTACATAACAAATAGAACAAAATAAAACTGAAATAAATAACAACTGAAATAACCGACTGACCACCAGCTAACCCTAGGATGATTAGAACACATTCTACCCTACGAACACAGTGAGACCATAGCTGTGGGGCCCACATCAGTGTTCTCTACAATAAGCATTTAATAAGTGTTATTAATTAAAAAGTTAAAATGGCCCCAAAACCCAATGATTGTAATTAATTAACTATTATTAATTAAAAGTTAGAACGACCCCAAAGCCCAATGGTTTTAATTAATTAGCTATTATTAATTAAAAGCTAGAATAGGCTCAAAGCCCTATGCCAATGGGGAATTGGCAAATTGGCCATTTTCAAAAATAATTAATGATTAATAAACAAATAATGACTAATGAACAATTGATAATGAGTCTAGTTTTAATTAACTATTATTAATTAAAAGTTAGAATGGTCCTAAAGCCCAATGGGGAATTGACAAATTGTTCATTGGGAATATAATAATTAATTAGCATAAAGTGTTAAATAAACCATTAATATTTAATATACTTGATTAAATAACAACATTAATTCGGTTTTTGGTTTGGTTCGGTTGAAAATATCAATCAAACTGAACCAAAACTGAAAACCGATTTAAAAAAAATAAAAACTGAGTCGAACCAATATCGGAATTAACCGAACCGAATTAGCTTATTCGGTTTGGTTCGGTTCAGTTTTCAGTTTATCAACCAAATTTGAACACCCCTACTGAAACCTGACTGACCCAGCCTGATTTTGACTTTTGAGCTTGGCTGGATTGGGTATTTAGAAATCAGGTTGGAAAAAATTGAATTCAATCCAATTTTGAATAGGTTGGGATCATCTGGTTGAGGATCATCTTAGAGGATTGAGGTACCCTTGCGTTGGGTTGACATCAGCCTGACCCAATCCAGCCCAAGTTGCACCTGCAAAACATTTTGTACAAGTAGGGGCTGCAACTAGATGGTTTGAACACATGGGATCTCCAAACATGAATCTCTGTCTGTGTGTTTAGATGTCATTAACCATCTTATCTATTAATTGCTGTCCTAAGAAGTTTATGTAGCAATTACTTAATTGGAAAGGAAAAACCAATATAAGCAAATGATTACTGCTTAAAGTCATTGACTAAAAAGAGCATTTTTTAACTTAGCCATTTATTGGACACAGAAAAATGGTTTCTGCATGAATTATGATCACCTCTTACGAGCACAACCAAGTACTAAAATTCTTATTGCAAATTGAGTCTGTACTTGTGATTGTCCTCTGCATGGTTATTAATTTCTTAATTTATGTTACATCCTTTTCTTAGTTAGATTATCGTATTCTTTCTTCATTTTGCACAATAACCATTTGTGAAGAAAACTAATGAAATGCAATGCTGACATTAGATTGATCGTGTTCTTTACTCATCAGTTGTGTACCCACACAACTATGGCTTCATCCCACGAACCATTTGTGAAGATAGTGATCCCATGGATGTCCTGGTGTTGATGCAGGTAACTTCTTCATAGTTCGATGATCTTGGTGACTGTATAATTAATAATTCTTTTCCCTGGGACAGTTATATGAACTTGCATATTTAAGTTAAGCTTCTAAATCTATTTTGTGACCTTTTTCCTCTTTGATAGGAGCCTGTTCTCCCTGGCTGCTACCTTCGAGCACGGGCTATTGGGTTGATGCCAATGATTGATCAGGTATATGCATCTTTCCCCTTCTACTGGTCTTTCAAAATTTGGTATATCCTCTTAGATAGATCTTGACTAAATTCTGAGATTTGTTGGTCATGGTGTATTATCCTTATTTTGTTCCTGCTTATGGGCCATGGGTTATCACCATTTGGAAGGGCATGTTGACAATTAATCACATGATGTACACCACAGGGTGAGAAGGATGATAAGATAATTGCTGTATGTGCTGATGACCCTGAGTATCGTCATTATAAAGATATCAAGGAGCTGCCTCCACACCGCCTTGCTGAGATCCGGCGCTTCTTTGAGGACTGTATCCTCTCTGAAAATAAGAGTTGTTACTTTCTTGTGACTGGTTTGTCATGAATAGGTGGGTTTTGTACTTTTGTCAGCATTGTTGGAGATATTGCAGCTCTACTACTAAGCTGACCGGATAATCTCAACCATGTGAAAACTGCCTTCTTTTGAGTAGCAATCTTTAGAAGATTATAATAATTATCAGATGGTTTTGATTGTCAGTTCAAGTAGGGGTGATCATGGGCTGGGCCGGCTTTAGCACCAATGATAAGGGTTTTAACCTAGGCCCAGGGTGCCCAGCCCGCACCCTAGGCATAGATTGCAAGCCCAAGCCCAAGCCCGGCCCTATATGGGCCCAGGCTGGGCTTACAAGCCTTTTGGGCCTAATGAGAAATGAGTTTGGGCCTATGTCATTCAGTAATAAAAAAATTAATTATTTAATTTTTTTAATTAAATAACATGTAATACATGCAAAAAAATATGGCAGAAGCCCAATTTTAATAGGGCTTGGCCAAGCTTTGAGCCTATGCACAAGAAGAAGGCATTGGCCTCATTTAATTCTAGAGTTGGTTTAGCTTGGCTTACCTATCCTTTTGTAGATGAAGTCAAGTCCTTCATTCCCATTCTTGAGCAATGTGGGACTTGGAGTGGCACTAAATTGTGAATGCTACCATTGAATGTTTTTGTAAGTCCCACATTGCTTAAGCAATGAGGATGAAGGCCTTGCCTAGGAGGGCAATTCACATACTTGAGTTGGTTCAAGTGTTAACACATGTATCGACATGTGTCAAATTTATTAGTATTAATATTTATTTATGATTTATTATTTATATTTATATTTATATGTTAAAATTTAAAACTTTTATATTTTATATAAAATAATAAACATTTAATATAAAATAATATATATTATATATTGTATATAATATGTATATATTATAATGTATATCTAAAATATATATGTTATATTGCGGGCTAGGCCGGGCTTGAAGTGCTGGGCCCAATCCTGGCCTGGAATTTTCCGGGCTTGATGCAAGCCCGGGTTGGGCTGGGCTTGCATTGAATGTTTTTCTAAGTCCCACATTGCTTAAGCAATGAGAATGAAGGCCTTGCCTAGGAGGGCAATTCACATACTTGAGTTGGTTCAAGTGTTATTAACACATGTATTGTGTTAGGAACTGCCTAACTCAGGGACTCTTTTGAGGGAGCCTGCCTCCTGAATGAGAGAGAGAGAGAGAGAGAAGAGAGAGAGAGATTGTATTCCCAAATCGATAATCCCCTCCTAGCTTCCTTTCCTTATTTATATACTGCTGTTACGATTCTGTTATACCCGCCTCTCCACTTGTCCAGTTTGTTAGTTAGTTTGTTCTAGTGGTTGGCTGTTAGTTACATTCTTTAAAGGTTGGCGTGGCCTTTTCTTGTACACTTGTATTCCCTTTATTTGTGTCTCAACAGTCCCTCCTCCTTCAAAGCGACCTTGCCTTCAAGGTCAAGATGTGGAAATCTATTCTGTAAATCAAAGTAAGGTTCCCAAGTTGCATCCTCAATTGGGAGACCTGACCATACCACTAATGCCTCTGGTTCGATGTGATTCCCTTTGCGTATCCACCTAAAATCTGTTCCTTAGGTTCTTGGAAGATCACTAAGAACTTCTGAAGTAGCTGCTGTAGTTGTGTGCAGCCTTCTTTGGATCTGCTTCCTTGGGCTAGAATGGAGCCGTTCCCGTGGGAGTCTATCTGCATTAATATGATGTGGGCTGGGTCTGCTGCCTGTTTCCTTAGGGAGGCGAGACTAATGGGTCTTGGATCCTTGGACAGCTGCCCTTGAATATGCACTTGTGAGCTGCCCACTTGAAAATCCATGGTGAGGCGGGCCCAATCACATATCACCGGCCCTAGTTGCCTTAACCATTGGACTCCGAGAACTACATCTGCTCCACTGATTTCCAGGGGGTGCAGATCTACCTCGAACTCATGTCCTTGTATCTTCATCTTT